CACATGACCTACTCGGCAAACTGGTGCCTATTAAATCTAAAACACTTCATTGTGGTCCCCCAATTCAGGAGAAAACAGGAGAGCCAACAGAGTGTGTTCTGTTACTTGAGGCTACAAACCAAGCTTGCCAATGTGACATGAAAAAATGTCAAAGACAATACATATTCTACAGTATTAAATATCAATACATGTTCAATTGCATATGTTTTATATATATCTATACACCTGGGGCTGTGCAAAAATGCCTTGGGCAAAAAGGGGTCAAGAGTGGAAACAGTTTGAGAGGTCCTGCTCTAGCCTGTGATTCAGGATTTTCCAATATTTCAAAATCCTGTGTTTGTTAGTACTCTGACTTTAAGGCATAAATAGACATTGTTGGCCCTCCAGATGTCATTGGACTGCAACTCCCATGATTACTTCTGTGTTGGCTGGGGCAACAGGAAGTTGAAGGCCAATGAATCCAGAGAACTTTCAAGATCTTGTGTGTGCAGAAGTGAGATATATGGGGAGGTTTGGACTCAATCGCTGCCCAATATCCCAGGATCTGATCCCAAATCTGCTTTGAACCAATATAAATCTGTTTATTGATTAGTCCACTGACCATATCAACAATAAACAAAGACAAAACAATAAACAAAGACAAAGACAAAAACAAAAATCCACAAATAGATAAGAATCACTATCTTACAACTCGTGTAATAGTTAATTAAAATAAATTAAAATGCAATAAAACTTGATTAAGTAATAAATTTGGTAAAATGGGATTAAATTACAAGATGGAATCAGGGGGAGTAGAGAAACTTGTGTAAAAGAATCCAGAGAACTGAATGATGCTGCCCTTGTCTTAAAGACAAGGAGAATTTAGGAACATTCATCATCATGACTTTGAACTAGATTATATGAGTCTATACTGCCAGATAATCTGGCAGTATAATCTGGAATCAGATCCTGGGATATAGGGCAGTGTAGAACTGATCTAAGAGCTGCAGGAGTGATTCAGAACAAGCCTTGATAACTAAGGGCCCTTCTACAGAGGCCTTAAACCCAAGAGGAACTGGGATATTCCTGTTCCACACCTATCCCAAACCCTGGACTTTGTGCAGGCTGGCTACATGCATAGAGACCGCCCCTAGCCCCCCATTTACCCCCAAAACTTATGTGAGGGGCCTGAGCATATATCTAGGCCCCTAATGTACATTTTTGGGGTAAATGGGGGGGGGCTGAGAGGGGAGGTTGGGGTGCCCAAAAACAGGATCACAGTGGGGATATCCGTAGCAGTCCTGGGAGTCAATTTCCACAGGACCCACAACTGGAAATATCCAGACCTTACATTAAGGTCTGGATCTTTTCAGGTGTCCATTTTACTCATTTATTCATTTTGGTTTACCTGAGGTTTTATTTGGACACCTCTGGTAAACAGTGAAAGGTTTTAGGCCTGTGTGGAAGGGCCCCTAGTTTGTTTTTAAAAGTGAGCCTTAATGTAACTGAGAGCTTGTCTACATGGGCTCAACAAACTGTACTTACTATGCAATTGCTTCTGGCTACCCCCACGGTATTCTGCAACTTTTGGTGGTTATCGTGGCCCATTGGCCACACAGGCCAACTCCTTTTTCCTGCCATCACTGTTGCCATTGTCAGATGGCCACGGAGTTCTGTGACAAATCTTGGCCATCATGGAACCTGTGTAACCACAAAGAAGAAGGGATGGTCTGCCCCCTCCTTCTTCCTGGTCATACAAGTACCTTCGTTCTTTGTTCTCATGCCTATCTAACCTAAAGGAGGCAGTTTACAAGAACTCTTCAGTCTTAGATATAAACAGTCTTTTATGGCTTCCTCAGTTCTTTGATTTCCCCATACAAATGTTTAGACAAATTGTCTACCAAATGTCATTTCTTCAAGTCTTTAGCCTTGGATTGTTTCACTGGAATATCCATTTCCTTTTGTTTCTTGGTAACTACCACCAACCCCAATTGTTGTGGTGTAAGCAATGTGTCTACTACTTCCTTTCTCTGCACATTGTGTTGTGGAAACCTTAACAAATTGTCTTCCATGTAATTCAAAATTCAATTTAAAGAAAATTCAAAATTCAATTTAAAGATGTTTAAGAAAAACATCGCCTAACTCAACTGTTTTGGGCTTATTTTAACGTGGCATTTTGGGTGCTTCTAAATTACGATGGTCAGTATAAACTTCAAATTTGTGGGGTGTCCTCTGTAGGAAATATTGCCAGCCTTCTAATGCAAATTTGATAGCAGCTGCTTCTTTTTCCAAGATCGGACAGTTGGATTCAATCTTATTGCGTTTTTTGGACAGGTAAACACAAAGATGTAAGCTTTCCTTTTCATCTTTTTGGAATAAAATCCCTTCAGTTGATGTATCACAGGTGTCCACTTGTACTACAAAGGGCTGTTGGGCGTCTGGATGTTTCAAAACTGGCTCTCAATTCATGAGACATTTTAGAGTTTCCTTGATTGTTACCCTATGGTAAGCCTCTCTCAGGTCCAGCTTGGTGAAAATCTTCCCTTTGCTTGATTGACAGTATGTCCTTGATCAGTGGGAGCGAGATATGTTTGGCTAGTGCTAATTGCATTTAACCCTCGATAGTCTGCAACCAGCCTCAATGATCCATATTTCTTTTTTTCTAAAAAAAACCAAAAAAACCTGGAGCTCCAATGAGCAAAGTGGATGGGGTAATGAAACCACAATTTTGGTTTTATCAATGCTGACATTTTCTTCGAGATCATATGATAAATATTTTATTTGGACAATTCTGTTTCTAGTTCAATGTACTGATAGGGAGGCAATTTGTCATTCTTGGTCCTCAAAAACCTCTCTTAAGTCCATGTGCTCTGCTATGGTAGATGTGGGGCTTTCCATTATTGCCCCTCCCAAGACCTCTTTGTTTTCTCCATTCTCCTCTCTGGGGATCCATTAGTTCTCTGCAATGTGACTACTACACATGGGCTTTGCAAACTTTATTTCTCTCTTTCTCTGTGTAAGACAATTTAAGCCCAATGAATGGATAGTGGGAGGAAGAGGCAATAACAAACTGTATTGTTTCCCAATGTTCCCATACCCTCAAAACATGAATCCAGTCTTCTGGTTATATAGGCCATCTATTTTGATCTTGCTGCTATGCATTTGTACAAAAGTTATTGGAGTATGAAGTCGCTCTGAAATTATTTCCAATCCAGTAGCTATATCAGGGCTCAAGGTGGATCTTGTCCAGCCTAAATCCATCGCTGCATCTATTTCCAAATCCTTTTTTTTATTTTTTGAAATTGCACTTTCACTGTCACTCACTATTGGTTTTGAATGCCTTTTTCCTGCTGCCTGGATGCCAACATGCTCTAATAAAGGCAACAGATATTTACATCCAATGTGATCCAACTGCAGGTCCCCCAACAGAAATGATCTTTTGACATTCCTCTTGCAAGGACAGGAAAGATCCACCATAATCAGAGTCAGGCTTTTTATTCTGACAGCTATCAAGAAAAGAGCACATTTCCTGAAAGAACCAGGACAATAAGACTCTGACTGTAAATAGAAGGTCAGCTGCTGTCCTCTCCTTTTTGCCTTGTATTTTATTCGTGTTGTATTTTGAAATGGTCATATGACTAGTCAAATAAATAATAATAATAATTATTATTATTATAATTATTATTATTATTATTATTATTAAAGGCAACTCTCGTTTCCCAGTAGGTTCTTGCTGTCAGCTCCTTAGTCTGTACTCTTCGAGACTTCACAACCGAAGAGGCGGCTGCAGCAGTTGCTGCTGGGGCAACAAGGAGCTCCACTGAAGAAAAGCATGCTGGCTTCACCCGACCCCATTGCACTCTCTCAGTATCTCTTCCTCTCTTCTTGGCTCCTTCGATAGGCTCCGGGTAATCAAGGAAGGAAGAGAGGGAGGGAAGGACCAAAGGAGGTGGTGACTGCCACATGTGCTGCTGGGGCAGCAGGAAGCATAGCTAAAGGGCGCTGTGCTACCTGACATTGGTCAAAGGCCAGTGGTGGGATCTGCCAAGACCATTCCCCTCATCTTGGCCTTTCTTCCACTGGTAATGCTGGGAAGTCCCAAAGACCAGCACTGAAACCTTACATGGCCAGCCCTATGGGGGGGGGGGGGGGGGGGGGGGGGGGGGGGGGGGCTGGCCTGTGGAAATGTATCCTATTTTAATATTTGCTCCTTAATTTCGCCAAGTTGTGTAGGCGTGCACTAGAGTTTATCTTTGCTTGAGGCCTCACATGGTAGAACTAGAAACAGCACAATATAGCAGCAAGATCCAAATCCAAGTTGTGTGGCCAAATGGTGAAGAAAACGTTTGCGAAAAAACAGCTTCCTTTAAACAATTACTGAAAAGGAGTGAATTAATCAATGCAAAATAGCTCATTTGACACAGGAGAGTATATGACTATGGCAACAAGGATCATCTTTACTCAAAGATGGAAAGAATCAACTATCCTGATGCAACTTACGAAGACATGTGAACTAATAAAAATGGATAAACTCACAATGTTAATTAAGGAGATATGTCTAATCAATTTCAAGAAAGATTGCTGAATATTTATTATGTTTCTGCAGCAAAGATGAGTTCTTAAACTTTCGGTTTTTTAAAAATTAAAAGCGTGTCATCTTATGGGGAAATGATGCATTGTTGTTGTTTTTTTCTTTTAATGGGCATGGAAAATTGAGAAAATAAAAAACAGAAAGCGAATACAAAGCCCTTAGACTAAGTACTGTAGATTTGTATGTAGTTGATGGTTAGTGGGGGCAAATTTTTTTTGCTGTAGGTTAGTTTTTATAGATATAAATCATTTTAAAAAGAGCAATCCAGTTGCATGACAGTTTCTGTAAAAATAGTCTTTCCCTTTCCAAAAATGAAATTCAGCAACTCCCAAGAAACATGCCAAACCAGCAGCCAGAAATAAGAAAAGGAGTAATCCTTCTGTGGTATATTTACTTCAATTGAACAGAGGAAAACATATACTGAGAAAAGTAGAATCTGAATACATATTTTATTATGAACATTATAAATATGTATATATTAAATACAAAGAAAGAAAAATAAAGCTGCTTATCCATCCAAAACATTTTAACACTTTTTGGAAGCTGCATGGGGATGTCTGAAATATGAGACACAGCATTAGCAATGTTCTAATCAACCTGAAAACAATCCATACTTTCATACTACTGTACAGAGGCTGCTTTCAATTGGACTGTGCTGCTGCTGCTCTCTGTAATGAAGTAGTCATGCACAGGAATTCACTTTAAACACCCTCCAATTTTCACATCACTACAAACCACATAGATATTTTTAAAGATGCTCAGACATTAGTGCATTAAAATTGCTTCCCTTGTAATATGAAGTAGTCACTATGGAATAAAAAGACTAGTATTCTTTTCTCTCGATGATGCGCTCTGTGGTTGGGTCCTATGCAAACTTGCCTATCTGTCAATTCTGCAGCTTAAAGGAACAAGGAGTATTGTGATTATACACAGATCTACTTTCAGACCTCAGGTTGCTCTTTTACATTGAATTAAGAGTTTTAAAATCCTCTGTCATCAGGAAAGCTCACACTGTTTTACATAACAAGAAAACGTGAATCTACTGACACCTACCCTCACCATTAAAAGTTGCAGAAAAGTTCACAAATATTGTAAAGGGAACTCTCTGGGAAGAACTACTACATATTTTTGTGGACAAGCCCAGATTTTGGAATTGGTTTGTTTTTAATCCTTTGGATTTCTAGGACACTACTCTTGATTTCCTGTACCGCTGACATAGACCTGAGTTGGACTTGCAGTTTCTCAGTCACAGTCCCCAGCCATTTTGTTTCTTTACCACTGAAAACTGGTGTCTAATGGCATTTTCCATAAGCAGAGGAGCATTAATACTGATTGTCATGACTAATTACTAATGGCAAAATATGCGCCCTTAGCATTAAATATGAACCACTTTTCCAAAGTCTGTTCACAAGTGTATCTGTTTGGATTATGTAACCTCCGGTCCTGCAGAACTGTGTGCTTTTTAAATGCTGAATATACATCCCTCTCGATTTGCTATCTAGAAATTACTAACATTAACAACACAGTCCTACACACATCTACCCAGGAGTCATTTCTATTGAGATGAATAGTGCTTGCTCCCAAGAACGTGCAAACATGGTAGATTTTTCTTGAGGCACTTGCTTCTGGTAATAGAAGAAAACACCATTGAATTCGGTGTGACTTTTTCTCAACAAGGTTTCTAAAGCCTTGCAATCCAAATGACTTCCTTCTTTTAGGACAGTGATGGGGATCTATGAGTTGATCTTCAACTCTCAGAACACCAAGCCAATGGTAAAAGATTTGCAGTCATTTAGAGGACCATTAAGCAAATTTGCCAAGTGTTACAGCTGAGGCAGTCATTATATAACCACACTATTTCTCAGAATTTTACAGGGAGTACATATGAAGACATCATGTTTGTATTCCTTACATCAGCTTGAACTTTTTCATTTAACATTGACCCACTAAGGAATACATTATTAAACAATCTGAAACAGGTAATGCTGTTTGGCAGAATACACAGGCTTTGCTTTTCCATAGTTCTATAAATGTACAGTGGGGAGAGATCAAACCCTGTGTAATTTCTCTTTCCCTCTTGCTATTCCTGCTCCATCCCAAAGCATCTGATTGTCCCACAGCCATCTAAAGCAGACAAGCTTATTTTTGAGGACGTGTAGTGAGTTGCCTGGGGGATAGGAAATCACTTAAATCCTTCATTTTGTTGAAGAAAGCTGCTCTATTGACAGAATGATATAAGTGAATTCCACTTCCTATTGCCTGTTACAGTTCATTATATTGTTAGCTATAACCCTGTTTAAAATCTCTTGTGATTTTTCCACATTTGTCAGAGATTACATATTTCAGTACTAAGTAATCAGTGCTTTTCTGTTGCAAGCAGACTGTCCTTTCCACCTGAATCTTATTTTAGTTGACAATTAAATGAAGAAAAGAAGGCTTACCACTTGTATCCATCTATAATCTTTTAGACACATACCATACGATACAGTGCTTAGACTCTACTGACCACTCTAACAGAAACTTTGAAAAAAATGTGTTAGGAGCAACTTGAGAAACTGCAAGCCGCTTCTGGTGTGAGAGAATTGGCCTTCTGCAAGCACATTGCTCAGGGGACAACCATCCTGTGGGAGGCTTCCCTCATGTCCCCGCATAGGAAGCTAGAGCTGAGACAGGAGCTTGGATTTGAACCGTCAATCTGTTGGTCAGCAGTCCTGCCAGCATAAGGGTTGAACCCATTGTGTCACGGGGGGCTCCTCTTTGGAAAAAAAGCCAGTATGTTTCACTTTATTTGGGATGATTTCAGTAGCATATCCATAATCCTGAATTGCAGCTTCTCAGCCCTACATGGTCAAATGAACCTGTCATGGTCTTGATTCAGGCCCATTCCCCCCAATGTCCATGATTTTTCATGAACCACCATTTTATTCCACAAATGTGCTGTCATTTATTACAAAAACGCTGGCCACAGCTTGTCTTATCTTCAAACATAGTTCTATTTTTTTAAAGTGTGGATGGGGACTGTCTCTACAAATATTAGAGATCCAACCGTCCTTTTCTATTCCATGCATTCATCTAAAATCCAGCCAACAAGGAAATTCTTGTTATAAGGAGTAAATGCCAGGGTTCTGCACAGCAAAATGCATATAAATGCTGTTTCATATGGATTCTGGTTACTTATATGAGTATTACGTAATATCAAACTTTGCCAAAGGGCAAGTCTATGCAGGCACAAAAGCCCAGACTCACTCTGAATTGACCTTTGGCTGTCCTCACAATGTTACTATACTTCTGGTGAATATCACAGTTTATCCTGGTTTAACTGGATTTATCCCACTTCAAGCAAAGTTGGGGGGGATGCTGTGACATTTACTGGAAAGTTTGGAGTATCCTGCAGATTTGATGTAGTGTGGACACCTGGATCAAATTCAGTTCAGCCTGGTATGCACCCATGTTGCCACTGTCATTGCTCCCAGCAGGCCATAAAGCTCTTTGCATCCCAATGTGAGACTAGCAGAACTACACAGACAACCAGGAAGATCAGCCCCATCCTCCTTCCTAATTGCATGGGTTTCTTTACTGATGTCAGAATGGGGCACCCATGATGGCCATGGGATCGCATGAAGCTCTGTTGCTGACTAGGAGTGACAACAGCAACACAGAAGGTGAAGTGATGGTCCAGTGTGGTTTTGTTCTGGCGAGACCATGTGGACACCAGCCCAGTGCCGCAGTGGGTCCAGCAGGGTGCATGCTTGCCAAATCCAGGACCAGCCTGGAGCATTTCTACTCATTTACTGACCAGTGTAGACTCACCCAAAGATTCAAACTAGATCAGATACTGCTGGCAAAGCCTAGACATTTTGTGCAAATATATGACTTCAGAAGTGCTCTTTGATATGTAATAGAAGAGATGCCGTTAACATTCCCTAATAGAAGGATATCTCTGGCTTCTACATAGGGGCATCCTGTGGATGGCGACAGTGCTCGCCTCTTACATCTTGAGTCTCCTGTTGGTGAAGAACAGATTAAGAGTCTATTAAGGAACATAACTGTTGAGCGATGGTAGCGCTTGTAAGAAAGTAACTACCAATTCTAGACACTCTGTAACACATGAAGAGCGTAAAGGAAGCAGGCTTGTTAATGCAATTAATATATGAAGTACTTCATGGAGAATTGTTCCTTGGCAATCCCTGTTCTAACTGTGTTCATTGCAATCAGAACATATTAAAGAGGACCATAACTTCATATAGTAAATATAACACCAAAGATATTCATTGAAGGAGTAAAACAGGAATATAACTCATGGCCCTAAATGTACAACTACTTTGGAGGTTTACTGTTGAATATCCTGGAGTATATAATTAATCTTTAAGAGGAGAGAGGAAGCAGGATGGAAAAGAAAAAGAAATGTGGCAGCATATGTAAGACTACCTAATTTTTATTTTTGCAGGAATGTTTCTTTTTCTTCTCCTTTTTTATAGCTACTTCTTTGAAAACTACTATAAAACTTGGCATTTCAAGTTAGACTGCATCAAGGAAAGCAAAGTGGACATCTTGATGTAGTTGGATTTCAAGAGGTTTCATAACAAGCAGTGCATGCCTCAAGCGTTCCCTACTGTGAATTACCCATCCCATAAACTACTGATACAGTTACACTTCAGTGCTATCCACTGCAAGCTTCTTTTATGAAGGCGGTGATGTTCTTGGGAAGAAGGATCCCAGAAGAAGAGGCTTGGCATCACGGCCACCACAGCTGATGTTCTAACCAAAAAAGCTATACAAGGAATACATGGTCCTCCAGTCAATTCAATGGTATGCTTCCATCATAGAGTCCCACTGGAAAAACTAGAAAATTCTTAGAGAGGCTGGTAAACTGGCTGGGATTTCTGGGAGTTGTAGGCCAAAACACCTGGGGACCCACAAGTTGAGAACCACTGTTCTAGGGATTTCCTAAGTATTCTAGGGTAACTTCTATGAAAGTTATTTATTTCAATAAGGTTTGCAATCATCCACAGTTTTCTGTTTTTGCAGTAAGTTCAAGAAAATATTTCTCACAGATAATGGCGTTTTTATCCTCAGTCATTCTTTCCCACTACACAATATCACTGAAGATGCAGTGGGACTGAGCATGTTCACTCCATCCTTAACATTACTACTAGGCTGACCTTTCTCACACAGTATTTATGTTTTGGCCTGGGGGATCTGCAACCTCTTATGAGGAAAACATACACACATTCTACAGAATACCCTTCCTTCACTGGGATGGCACAGAGTGCAATGATAGAGGTGGATAGAGCATTTGTGTTCCTTTCCCCTTCTCCCTCTAAAGGGGGTAAATGCTCAGGAATCCAGTCCAGAAGTGGATTCATATATCAACACAGAGATCTTTTCCCAACACAAACAGATTATATGCATGTCACCATGAAGAAGGGTGGTATGTTTCCTCAAAAAAGGAATGGTTATGGATGAGTTTGGAATTTAGGACAGAGAGTAATTCTGAGACCCGAGTTCCAGAAAAGGCAAAGCAGGCAGGCAATTACGATGGTAGTAGACACAGCTGTTGCTCGCATCTTCCTCAATGCAGAGAAGAGTGGCTAGTTTTCGTGACTCATCTGGATTCTTTAAGCATGACTTTCAAAAAGGAGAAGTATATTAATCGGAATAGCAAGGCAACAAGCAGCTTCTGGGATAAAGAGAATCTCCAATCCCTTCTCCTCTGTCTCTCCAGTAAAAGATATAATGTGATGAGTGCGTCCTTCGGGTAACCTCAGTGACCAAATCTTTTACATTAAAAAAAATCATTTTTGCCCTGCATTTTTCCCTGGTTTTGTATGCTTATTAAAAATAGGAGAATCTTCACACTCAGTACAATACATAATTCCTGCTGTAGTTTTATCTAATGTCATTATAGTAACAAAACCATGGTGATATAGTAGTATCAGGCATTTGAGTCTGGCTTTTAAAATAAATGTTGATTATTTTGATTTAAAATGTAATTATATTATTTTAAGTATAAGGTCCATTATTTTGATGAAGGAAATGACCCAAGAGAAAGGGCCAAGCATCCCTCCCTCCCTCCCACCTGTGGCCCAAGTTTACATTTTTGTGAGTTGCAAGGCTGCATATACATTTCCCATGTTGCATCTTGTTTGGCATTCAACTTTGGGCTAAGCTACATACCGGGGTTAGCCTTTGAATTTGAAGGATACAGTGCTCTGTTAATAAAAATCCATATCACAAAATGCTAGTGAGCCATTGCACACTTTTTTCTTCCTTTTCACCCTCTCTAAAATCGCAAGCCTGACAAAAGTGATCACTTGGTAGCTTTGGACTCTACCCTATTTTCCTCACTAATTCTTGGAATTTACAAGTTTGTTATAATTTCTTTCTTTACATGAAAGAAAGCAAGAAAAGATTGAAGACTTATCAGCATTAATGTTAATGGTGTAGTTGTTAGCATGACTGAAATTAGGACTTGATTCTTTGACTATCATGGAACTAGGAGTTAATATTACACGAAATTGGATATCTATGCAGAAGGCTGTTAAGAGGATCAGGGTCAGGAAGAGCTGTTACTAGCCTCAGGTCTTAATGGTGCAGCTTCAGTTAGACGCAAAGCCCCTCAATTAAAACGGCGTTAAGAGTTGCAGCTCAGGCAATTTTAACTTGAAAGAACAAGGAAGTCTTTGGTGGAAAAATATTTGGTTTCCATTTCTGCCATAGCTCAATAACATCAGAGATATACACTTGAGAAATAATTATGGGAGGACAGACAGGTCCCATCTACACTACCATATAATCTTCATTTTATGATAATGTAGATCCAGCCTCAGAAAGAATAAGTAGGGTTAGTGAGTGACAAACTTACTCCTGGCCAAAAGGAGTAAATGAAAAACAGCCCCCATACAGTACATAGTTTCTGTAATGTGAGAAGGTGAAACAATTTACAAGAGCCCATTTTTAAAAAAGCATTCATTTTATTTTATAAAATAAACTTCCATATACAGTTGGGCTTTTATAACATTAAAAATAGCCACCTTTATAGCTAGAATGTGATGTGCATGTGTATATTTATACATATGTGTGTGTGCATATATATATCTATGTACGTGAGTGCAAGTTCATGTATAATACAATGTAATACAATCTTAATACAAGTGAAAAACCGAAGGTCTTTAAAGCTACATTATAATAATTGTAAAATATTCATTTTCCATATAATCATTTACGGGGGCAGCAGTCAGTAAGATATCACTAGACACAGGGCAACAATTGAAAAACATATCTGACTGACAGGAAATGCTAAAAGAAAATGCTTTGGAATTGGGTGGAAATTCAGCATTATGCAGATAGAGAAAATGACCTGCAGGTATGCTTGAAACAGAGTTTAGGTGGATACAACCCCCACCAAAGACGTCTGTTGTGGAAGGAATTTTGGAATTCGATTTCTGCATCTCCTACATATTCAATGTATCCAAAAGGGAACATTCTCAGACAGAAATTTGAATATGGCTATGAACAATGCAGGTTACCCTCAAAAAGGGTACAAATGAAGGGCTGAGTTACAGCATTTGTGGGTTTTTTTTATGAGAACTGCACTCAGGATTGGCTCATTTTCGCAGGGCTCAGCTAGCCCTTGTTTCTAGTCCTGAATACTGAAAATGCTGGTGTCAGATAGAAAACCCCCAAATCTTTCCCGTTAGCAAAACAGGAAGAAAAATCCCAAAAGACCTGAAGCAAGAATACGGTCTATTTTCTCGGGGGAGAGTGGAAATGATCCATCTGGCCAGAATAAGCCTTCAGTGCTTTACCCAGTGTGCTTTAGCTGTTAGTCCTTTTGTTTTCTTGGCTTACTTGAGTAGATATTTCTCCAGATACTCCTGAATCCACTTTAGCTTGGGATCAATGCAGATCTGTTTGCTGCTATTTTTCAATCTTGCACTGTCAAAAAGAGGAAAGAGATGCATAATAATAACAACAACAACCACAACTCTGGGACTTCCTAATTCATACTGACAGAGTTTTGGAGCACAATACTTCTGACCTCACAATAGTGGGGAAAAAAAACAAGTATGGATCGTCGATGTTGCCATCCCAGGCGACAGCAGGATTGATGAGAAGCAACTGGAAAAGCTTACACGGCATGAGGATTTAAAGACAGAACTGCAAAGACCCTGGCACAAGCCAGTAAAGGTGGTCCCAGTGGTGATCGGCACACTGGATGCAGTGCCTAAAGACCTTGGCCTGCACTTAAAAACAATTGGCAGTGACAAAATTACCATTTGTCAGCAGCAAAAGGCCACCCTACTCAAATCTGCACGCATTATTCACACAGTCCTAGACACTTGGGAAATGTCCGATGTGTTCAAATACAAAAGCCAGCATGGTGATCTTGTTTGCTGTGTACTAATCTTGTTATGTATATAATAATAATAATAATAATAATAATAATAATAATAATAATAATAATACCTTATTTATATCCCCCCACCACCACCTCTAAGGAGGACATTTCATTATCTATATCTATGTAATAAAAAAAGTGAAAATAGGTTGCTGTCATGAGAATTGTAACTTCACAAGGTCTTTAGCCTTCTTTTCCAGATAGTGCTGGTACCTCACTGAACTACAAATCCCAGGATCCCATAGCAGTGAGCTGTGGCAGTTAAAGTGATATCTAATTGCATTGATTCTATAGTGCAGAAGCAACCAACGAGAACTATCCTTTTTATTATTAAGCACAACATCCATTGAGCTCTTATGCTTTCTCTTCCAAAAAGAAGAAGGCAGTTTAAAAGAGTATTTTCAAAAAATATAAAGACATCACGGTCACTTAAGTGTGACCCAGTGAGTTTTTAAATCTGGATTTCTGGCAGATTCCAGACAAGGAAGAAGTCTGTGCCGATCCGTGTTTTTTTTAAAAAAAAATAAGTTGGTGCAACCTACTGTCCCCACACCAGCCTGAAAGCTCGTGTTTTCCATGCTGGGTGTCTGGATGCACTCCCAGAACCTTCTGGGAGAAAACCCAAACACCCTAACCCTCTTCCCAAAACCCTTTAAAAACCCATGGTGCCAGAGTCCTCCTGGTGCGTAGAATTGATGTGCTGGGAGAAGAGGGGAGTGATTTTCCTCCTGACCCACATTCTCCTGGCACATCATTTCTATGTGGCAGGAGAGCTCTGGCACCAGTTTAACGGCAGCCAGGTAAGTTATTTTCTTTTTCAAGTTGTTTTAAGTGGTTTTGGGGAGGAGGGCTGTCCTAGGACTACTGAGGGACAGTCCACACAGGGCCCATACTGGATTAGACCTGGATATTTCAAGAAAACCTGGGTCTAATCCTGTATCTAATTAATTCTGGACAGAGCAGGGGTTTCCTGCTTTGTCCCGAATTAATTCGCTTTTACAAGAGGCGTTCTTTGGATGCCTCCAATAAAAGTGCACAAGCTTGAGCGTTTTGGGCCCTGTCTGGATGGGCCCTCCCAAACCCTTGTCTGACAGTGATGTTAACATGCAGGTTTACCTTTCACTTGCCACATGGCCAGCCAATATTTAAACCAGGACGGAGAATATGTGGTCTTGCAAATATTGTTAGGCAGTAGCTCCCAACATTCTTCAAATGCTTGCTTAAAGCTGTTGGGAACTGCAGTCAGGAACAAAGGCAAAATTGAGCTTTCTTTTTCTTTTTTACAGCTAACTAACTAGTCACATCCCAGTTCTTATCAACTTTACATATTTGATCTGACAAGATTATGAAATTCAAGGACACCAAATGTTGAAGATACATTAACAACGGTGTGCAACTTTAAACTGAATTTTATGTTCATAACTGGTGGCTCTGAAGTTGTTTTGAGAGCAGATTATTTTCAACTGATAACAGTATATTGGCCAAATCCTATTCACTGAAAACAGCTGGCTAAACCCAATGGATATAGTCCCACTTAAGATTGTTCCATTGAATCAGCTTATGTTGACATCCATCCTTTTGATTCAGCGGGACTAACACTTGATTTAATCCATAAACTTTGGCAGCTAGTAGCATCTCTATCAGTTGGGCAAGTGCATTTGCTCTATGTCTTAGTCAAAACTTTAAAGGAGCTATCTTAATTTGCTGAACTTATAATGGAGGATTTCGCCTCTTTGATAGCTCCTTTAAAGTTCAGACTAAGACCTGGTCCCATCTGCACTGCCATAAAATGCAGTTTGAAACTGAATTATATGAAAATATTAATGGGACCCTGGAGTGGATTCCAATGTGGAAGCCACCAGCTGCCAGGGTGTATAGAAATTTTTGTGCTGCAAGAACCACACTCATTCCTTGCACTTTTTCTAAAGTTCCATATTTTTGCCTCTCAAATAGTCACAAGACATATTTTTAAAATATATTTAAGCTCTTGAAATATGCAATTGAATTATATTTGCAGAGGGTCGGTATAATTAATGGTAGAAAGCTAGCATTTCTTTGTGTATATAAAACTTAAAATAAAAAATATGTTCCAGATGACTGCAATAAATACAGTGCTGCACAGAAAGCCCTACAGCTTTTTACCAAATTATATAGAAAGCAATTAGTACCTATGAATGATCTGCCTCTTGTCAGTTTAACCTTTCAGCAACATCTTCCCTATTCCCAGGTGCCTATTTCTTAGTGTAAACAAGTTGGCTAAACAAATTAATCAAGATTCAAGAAGAAACCCAGAGTCTTTGTTGTAAAGATCAGGGGTAGACTGGTACAACCCCTTCCCACAACTAACTATATCAAAGTCTCCCTACAATAAAAAGTGGAAGGAAGGAAATGTTCCAGTAGCACTAGAGTGCCCTACCTTCCAAAGACCCTGTGTCCATATAGGATAGATACTGATCTCCAAATGACATCTCCAAAGAGTTGCATGGGAGAAGGAGATATTGGGCAGGGAGCAAGGCAAGTCCCCCCCCCCCCCCAAACCTGTCTGGATGCACTAAATGGCAAAAAATCTCCTTGGGAAGCTTGAAATCCACAGGCAATCACTGTGTTTTTAAAATATGTCTCCCCTACCCCCATCTCCCTGGCATGCACAATAGCCATTTCCTGTTCCTCTAGAAGAGTACATTTTCCTTCTGAGGCCGAACGGTATAGCACTACGAGCTTGCTCCCTCTTCAGCCCCTCTCTCTTCAAATTGCAAGTCATTAATTGACTCCAGGAGCAGGAGTGTACGCTTTGAAAAGCTGGAGGGAAGGGGGGTACTCTCTGTACTGCCTGACCTGAACAGCATGGAAGCTAGCAGAAATGGCCAAGCTACCCGCTTTTACAGTCCAAATTAATGTTTCTTTTCATTTATTTCAAAGTGCATGATAAAAAGTGAAGGTGACTAGGTGACCTGTTTCCCTGCGTGTAAGATGAATGGAATTCTGACCATGAAGGCATAAGAAAGTAAATAGGCAGGATAATTTTCTTAACAAATAATGAGCAAAACAGCAGAGAACTGTACAATTGTCAAATTGGTCAAGCTCACTTATAAAGATTGGCGCTGAAATGTTAGTTGTAATACTACTATTATAATTGAAAACAAAAATTTGAAAAGTGCACTTTGATCAAAACATTTTTTTAAAAATCATCTGCTAATGTAAAACATGTTGCAGAGCCCAAACAGGCAACTGGTGGCCCTCCAGATCAAGCTAAGCTGCAGCTCCCAACCTCTCTTCTTGGGCCAGCTAAGGCTGATGGGAGTTACGGTGCAACCACTTAGCTGTCTCTTCCCCTTTGCCGCAAATTGAATGCATTCCTGGTAAGCTCCTCTTCTCTGCCTTTTCCCTAGAGTTGAGAGTGACGCAGCCCTAACTCAGGGGTTAAGTGAAAGGGGCTTCCTTGAGAGGGAACAGCATCCTGTGCACACATTTTCTCCCCGCGGAGCATGGCATCCATGCCTGCCTGTGGTCTCAGGCATGGAAAGGTACCTACCTCTCTCTCTCTCTCTCTTTCTTCCTTCCTTCCTTCCTTCCTTCCTTCCTTCCTTCCTTCCTTCCTTCCTTCCTTCCTTCCTTCCTTCCCTTCTTTCCTCCTTTCTCTCCCCCACCCCTCTCTCTTTCCAAGGAAGAGGAACCCTCCAGGTTCATCTCTCCCTCCTCCTCTTCTCTCCCAGTTTGGAAATGCTGGAACCCCCCCCCCCACATATTTTGTGTTTTGCAGAAGCCATGACCATATTTTGAATTACTATTGTGACTTGCATATACAGGCAGTCCTCAAGGTACTAAGATAGGTTCTTAAGTTGAATTTGTATGCAAGTCAGAACAGGTACTTTTTTAAAGTGTAACTCCAGCCAGATAGGTAGGTAGGTAGGTAGGTAGAGAGAGAGAGAGAGAGAGAGAGAAAGCGCTTTGGATAGCATAGGGAAGGGGAAGGGTTAATACCGCTGTGGTGTTTATTTTGCTGTCTGTGTTCCTGTTCAGAAGATTTCACTGCACTTTCTGTCTCTGTCAGAATTGGATTTTGAAAAAAACTGGAAACAAGAATTGGTGACAAAACTTCAGTGGAGACAACTTTTGCCCCGTGAGAACTCTTCTAAGAGTGAATTTCCCTTCCTAGAGGCAGATTTCTCTCACTTCCTGTTGTCTCACCTCCGTTCTTAACTAGGAGTCTTAACTTTTCTGAACTTTCACTGCCAGGACTCAATGCTGAACATCAGTTTTGAGTTGTCGAAATTTCTTTCAGGGAGTTGTCGTTTTACAAGGTCTCTAGCCTTCTCTTCCCAAGAATAAAGGTGCCCCACAAAACCGCAAGCCACATGATTTTGTAGCATTGAGCCATGGCCCTTAAAGTAGCAAAATCATACAGTTAGAAATCATTCACGTCTAGTATATGTCAAAACAACATGCTCTTGAGTTTAATTCATCTTTATAATAATTTACATCTCATGTTTTATTGGCTATTATTGTGTGCCTTAAAATCACTTCTGCCTTACGGTGACACCAAGGGTGCTTCTATACTGACGCTATAATTCAGCTTGGTTTGAGACAAACCAGTTTCAGTGCCTGGATGATTAGATTGACATCTGGAACCAGTTTAAGGGCAATTGGGTGATTATACTTGCCGCAGAAGTTGGCTTCAAACTACTTTGCAGGGTTTTAAACATTTCTCTCAGAGATGCACATCAACTATAAGGGCTATAAGGTAAAAAGGGAAAGTAATAGTTAAGAGTGGAGGTGATCAATGACCTCTCCCAGTGAAATGATTTGCCCTCAGTTGCTTTTTTCTCCAGCCCTGTTCAGGATTCTTTACTGCGCTTCAGCAGGGGCAGGTGACCACAATGAACAATGCATTTTGTGAAGCTGATTTCACACTGGTATTAAGCACAGTGCATTATATGGCTTACATCAGACTTTTTGTGACTTTTTGAATGTGCTGCTTTTGGTTTAATCTGTGCTACAGCACATATTGGTGTGTTTTGTGGCTACAGTGACCTTGAGTCAACTTCGGACTACATTATATATGGTCAGTTTAGAAGGGTTCCACGGCTACCCTGTAATGAGGTTTTCTTGGTTTCCTACCCTTTGGGGCTGAGAAACTGCTATTTGCACACAGTCATCTAGTGGGTTTCCATGTACTGTGCATAGTTTTTAAAGGTGGAGCAAACCCAGATCCTCCTTACCATTAGCAAGAAGATAGGTTGGAAAGCATAGCAAAGAGTTAGGGGAAGGAAAAGTAAGTCTCTTACACATGTTGGCTTTTTCTCTGAAAATATTTGCAGGATTTGGGTTCTGCTGTTAAAGCTTAAAGGGAGGGGGAATATGTTTTGCAAACATCTCTACTGTTTGTTTATCTCTTGTGCTTTGTGTTGTATACAGACCGCAGTGTTGCTTAGCTTGGAGAAATCCCTCTTTCTTTCTCTAGGCATAAGGATAACTCACTCTAGAGTTGCTTTCATCACATTCTGTTCTGACAATAATCTTTTCGATTATTCCTCTGCAGGGTATCAGACACTTGAATATTGTGGGACTCCCATTTCTTTTAGAATAGTTCGTCAAAACAGTGAAACAAGGAGCGCCTTTCCCTAGTGTTTCGTGCCCTTCTCTGTTTCACCACCATAAAATGAAAAATAAACATACAGTATTAGATTATTTATTTAAAATCAGTATGTTGATATTATTCCAGACTTCTCTGCTTCTCCCCATACTTACCCCATTGCATTTGGCATTCTCTGTGTTTCCTCTACACAATATAGAAAAAGTAATTGAGTAAGTGTTTAAAGAGAGGCTCTTTTTAAAAGAGAGGCTCTTTTTTATCTGTTTTGCTCATGCTTTCATCTGCAGCTTGACAATGAAGCAAATTGTTATAGAAGTATGACCATTAGCTATGTTGAACTCCATGATTTCGCACTGATGTGGCATTGGGGGCTGTATGGTGGGGTGGTTGGAGTGTGGAGGGATGTTTGTGTTGTTTTGTGGTGTGTGCTGGGGAAAGCATTTAATTTTATTGTGCAATAGCTCAATGATAATAAAGCTATTCAATTGTATTTTCTTTTTAAATGTTCCCCACATAAAATGAGTGGAATGTGCCCCACTTTAATGTGTTCAGGAGAAAGTTGTAAAATTATTCTAATCCCCCCAAATATTCTGAGAGTACATTGTGAATGATGAACTTTCCTTTATTTGCACGCTCTGAAAATGGCTGCGGCTTCTGCTAAGCACAAAATGCATTAAGAAAATTGAAATACACTTACATAATCTGGAGCGAACAGCCAGGAACAGTCAGGATCTTCAGGTGCTTAATGTGAGACTTGGCCACACTGCTCTCAACATATCTGCAGGGGCAGCGATAAGTCAAGCTGATGGGCTTCTCTACAAGGTAATACAAAGAAGAAAATTCAAACCTTTACTATCTCACTCTACAGTACAAAGGATTTCAGCCTTTAATCCTTGTGTTTGGAGACAAAAATGAGGTGAGAAACCAGAGCCTAAGAAATGGAGATGTGACTTTTAGAAAAAATAGCAACAGCAGCCGCCAGCTAATTGTTCTTAGTCCATAGAGGCAATTGAGCAAGATAATGGGTTAAAGCAGAAAGGTGCCTGGCCGCTTCAATGTTAATCCCACCCAACTATTTGACCTGAGGCCAATCAAAAGTCAAACAAGGGAAGAAAGCAAGTTCTCAGTTATGCAAAGCAAAACAAGTCACTCCTCCGCAAACTCATTATGGGGAGAGAAGTTATCAGGCCTTTGGGTATTCAGATTTTGCCCCGAATATAGCTGTTGGCGTCTCTTGTTTCATGCAATGCTGAAAAGAAAACCACAATGAGAATTTCAGGTTCCCAAAATTTAGGAATCACTAATCTGTAAAATGCTTTCCCAAGACTACATGTCACACCCAAACATTTACATAGGTTGTTGGGCCTTCTGGTGCATCAAATTATGCCCACATTTATAAAACAGACATGAACTTTAGGAGCCCCTGGTAGCCCTTGGGCCAGTAAGACTGAAGTCCGACAGGTCAGAGGTTCGAATCCAGGGAGAGTGTGGATGAGCTCCCTCTGTGAGCTCCAGCTCCCCATGCAGAGACATGAGAGAAGCCTCCCACAAGGATGGTAAAACATCAAAAACATCCGGGAGTCCCCTGGACAATGTCCTTCCAGATGGCCAATTCTCTCACACCAGAAGCGACTTGCAGTTTCTCAAGTTGCTCCTGACACAGGGGGGAAACAAACTTCAGGAAAACATTTTAAAAGGTACAGAGTTTGGGAGCATTTGGGACAAATTTCCGTGTTCCTGGAGGATCCCAAAGACATTGAGCTGGTCACTAGATTCCCATCCCAACCCATATACATTTCTTGCACTAAGCTCCATTACTGTCCGATCTGTACCACTTTCAAAAGGTGGCAGACACGCACATGACGCAAGATATAGATATAGATACATATATAGATATTCTTTCTTTAATATGTGTCTGGAATAGAATGCTTCCAGACACACTGGTTTTCTGAAGGCAAAACTACAGAGATCTGTGAATGACACTCTTGGTGTCTTTTTCCTTGCTAAAAGCAGTTGCCAATATGAAGGGGGTTATTTGGATTGGGGTCATGGTATTCTATGTTTGTGAAAAACCTTCTTCTTGGGAGGGGGGGGGGTATAAGATAATACACTGAAATGGCAACAAAAAAAAGTAAATGGCAACACCACGCAAGCACTGAAAAAACTCTTTATATGACCATCTTATGAATTGATCCAACTACACAAATGAATTTCTAGCACATAAACTTTTATAAGGCAGATGTAGAAGATTTTTCTTAAAATAAGACATAAAAAGGCATTTTAGATTCCCAAATAATTACTGATGAATTTTGTTAAATGTATTATCATAATATATACGTATCACAATTTGTTTGAAAATATTAAGTCAACAAATGAGTTCAGAAACATTTAGAAATGGAGTAGGTTGTGCTAAACAGTTATTCTCACTTTCAAAAAATATATCAGAAACTGACCATAACTCTGAAAGATACTTGCTAATGAAAGCAGAGGCCCTTGAATGTGGGACAATGTTTTTCTTTCCCTTATCGTAACTACAGCCACCCACATATCTAGAATAATCAGCTGCAGAGGTTAAAGAGACTCCTGGAATAATGTGGCAGAACAAATCAGTGGAAATGTATCCCCCACCACCCCCACCCAACAGAAACACTCACTGCATTATATATAAACTCTGACTATAATAGACAGCTGAATTTCTTTTTTGTTTATATAACATAACTACCCAAAAACCACACGTGCCACTGTTGGCTCCTTCTCTGGTGCAAATTATACCCGGGGAAATAGAATCATAGAGTTGAAAGACACCACAAGAGCCATCCAGTCCATCCCTATCATGCAGAAACACACAATCAAAACATCCCTGACAGATGGTCAGATGGCCTCTGCTTTAAAACTTCTAGAGAAGGGGACTCCATTACATTCCAAAGCAGCATATTTCACTGCTGAACAGCTCTTACTTACAGGAAATCTTTCTAATCTTTATGTGGAATCTTTTTTTCCCCTGCAATTTGAATCCATTGCTCCGTGTCTTAAATCTCCAGAGCAACATAAAACAGTAGTTTGCCATTTTTGTTTTTTGGAAGCCACCCTGAGTCCCTTCGGGGAGAAAGGGTGGGTTAAAAATAAAGTTGTTGTTGTTGTTGTTGTTATGCTCTGTGATGAATGGCGTAGTCTGTAATGTTCCTAGTGCTTTTACAAATGAATAATGTTTTGTCTTTACAAGCAATTATATCTAGGGCCATTAGGTTAATCTAAGGGTCACAATGAACTGCAGAGAGAAATACCAGCCTTTGCAGCTGCCGGTAACAAAAGAAAAAAGATCTCAAACAAGCCATTCACAGTTGTCCTTCATCGCACCATATGTAGCATAGCAGAGATGCTGTGCGCTTTGAAAAAAAAAATAGATAAGTGGTCCATTATGTAGAGCCTCCATCCACAGTCCAAAGTTCATATAGTTCAGACACTGGTTTACACTGCCATGGAAACAGAATAAACCTAAGCTAGGGCACATTAACACTGATCAGTTATCTATCCTCAAGGTTGGGCAAATCAGCTCCTTGGCAGCTAAAAGATGCCCAGTTAATGTGGGCCATAACACAGTTTTGGACCCATGTAAGCAGCAACTGTTTACATTGCCATCTTGTGTTCCCTGGGCTCGAGTGGTTCAGGGACAAGGGATGGCACTCACCATCCCGTCCCCTGTCCCCATCCTTGCCGTTGCAGTGGCCAGCATGTGTAAGATGGTTAGTGTCGGTCACTTGGAGTGATGCTCTTATTATTATCTCTCCCAAAGGTGACTCAAAGTGGCTTGACATAAAAGTATTAGTATACAATTTAAAATATACAAATATACAAACACTAAAACAGAATCAAACACAAACAGCACTAAAAATTAACAGTTAAATCCATCAAAACATATTCAAAGTTAATAGGCTAGTCACTCCGAATGAAAAGAGGAGAATATCTCTCTTCTTGTCTTCAACCATGGTCTTTCGGTGAACTAAAAATGAGCAGTTTCGGAAGATGGACTAGTTAAGATTATAGCCATCATTAAATATCTGGGGGAGATATCATGTTGAAGATAAAAAGCCCTCCATTTTCTGCTGCTCTAGAGAAGAGAACATGAACCAATGGATTCAAATTACAAGAAAGGAATCCCTCCTAAACACTGGGACAAACTTCTTTCCTGTTCAACAATAGAGCTGATTACTTGGATGGATGGCGGACTCTCCATCTTAGGTCTTTAAACAGAGGTTGGATGGGCATCTTTCAGGAGTGCTTTAGGAGTCCAAAAAGTTAAACTGCTGAGCTGCTGAACTTGCTGACCGAAAGGTTGGTGGTTCGAATACAAGGAGCGGGTTTTGTGTGTGTGTCAGGAGTGACTTGAGAACTGCAAGTCGCTTCTGGTGTAAGTGGGGTGCACTCCCAATGTTAGGCCCAGCTTCTACCAACCTAGCAGTTCAAAAATATGCAAATGTGAGTAGATCAATAGGTACCACTTTGGCGGAAAGGTAACGGTGCTCCATGCAGTCATGCTGGCCACATGACCTTGGAGGTGTCTATGGACAAAGCCTTAGAAATGGAGATGAGCACCTACCCCCAGAGTCAGACACGACTGGACTTAATGTCAGGGGAAACCTTTACCTTTATCTTAGTTGTGCACAAGCAGTCCCTGAGCTACAAATACCTGACTTACAAATTACTCACAGTTGAGAACAAAGGTGAAACAGGGAGAGAGAGAAATCTACCTCTAGGAAGGGAAATTCACCCCTGAAAGAGTTATCATGGGGAAAAGGTGTCTCCACTGAATCTTTCTTACCAATCCTTGTTTCCACAACATGCCACATTTTTCAAAATCCAATTATCATAGTGACAGAAAGTGAGGTGAAATCTTCTGAACAGGGGAACTGACAGCAAAACAAACACCACGGGGGTGTTCCCTCTTCCCTAAACTTTCCAAAGGCTGGTGTTACATTTTTTAAATGTATGTGTTCCAAATTCAATTTAAGAACAAACCTACAGAATCTATTTTGTTTGTAACTTGAGGACTGCCTGTATTCTTGCCTGGTAGCCGATTAGACTAGATGGCCAAAGTGGGCCTGTGAAGGTGGTCTGATAACCATATATATAGTCGTGGTCAGGGATCTCAGGTGTCCTGGGATTACAAGCCCTCTCACAATGATAGGAACTGCAGACCAGCTAAACTATGGAGAACCACCGCCTGGGCCCATTCAACATCCCGGACTGGAGAGTGGCTGCAATGAGTTTTGCCAGACACCTTAAGGAGCCACTTTCACCAGATGCTTCCCATCTCCGTCCCTTCCTCTCTTCCTCCCTCCCTCTGGGATTATGTCCTTATCCAGGAGAAAATCCTCATTTCGGTGTTCTCAGGGACTGCGGTCTGCCAAACTAAGCCTTTGCTCTCTGGAAAGGAAAGAGACCCCCCAACCCTAACCCTTCAAACTCCCGAGGGAGCAGTTTTTTCCATGGCTGAGGAGGCAAGCTGTGAGGCAGCTCAAAACAAAATCAAAAACGGGAATAACGAAACAGAATCCAAGACTGTGGATCAGAGAGTCTTGCTGGGAAGATGAGGAAGAGGATCCCCTCTGGGCACAGGAAAAAAAAAAATGTTTAGAGAAACTTCCACAAAAAGCACCACTTGAGTGTGCCTTGGGTTGCATCGGGTATTTTGAAGCCTTATCCCCACTGCCATATAAAATCCAGATTATATGCTTTGAACTGGATTATCTGAATCCACACTCACATTGCCATATAATCCAGTTCAAAGCACATCATATGGATTTTATATGGCTGTGTAGAATGGGGCCCCAACACTTCCGTATGATGCAGTTTCAGGGCCATTCCACACAGCCATATAACCCAGAATATCAAGGCAGAAAAAATCCCACAATGTCTGCTTTGAACTGAGTTATTGGAGTCCACACTACCATATATTCCAGTTCAAAGCAGATCATATGGAGTGTATATGGCAGTGTAGAATGGGGACCAACACTGCTGTATAATGCAATTTCCACACAGCCATATAACCCAGAATATTAAGGCAGAAAATCCCACAATGTCCACTTYGAACTGGGTTATCTGAGTCCCCATTGCCATATATTCCATTTCAATGCGGATTTTATACAGCTGTGYGGAAGGGGCCTCAGGGCCCATCCAGACAGGCCCTATATCTCAAGATGTGATCCCTGGTTTTCTGCTTTAAACTCCAGGTTAAACCCTTGTGCCTGCAGGACTGCTGACCAACAGGGCAGAGGTTTGAATCCAGGAAGTAGGCCTGGGAAATCCGTGGTTCTAAAGTACTTACAAAACTAAARTTCAGGTGGTGAAAATTTCAGCACTCTAACAAAACTTTCAAAATGTAATTATTATTTCATTATTGGTGATTTTTATGATAGAACCAATTAGAAACTGCCATTTATAATGAAATTTTGAGAATTTTGTTAGAGTTCTGAAATTTTCGCCACCAGAGCTTTAGTTTTTAAGTACTTTAGAACCACGGATTTCCCAGGCCTACTTCCTGGATTCAAACCTCTGCCCTGTTGGACCATGTAGACCCATGGATTGACCAGGCCTACCAGGAAGAATGCGGATGAACTCCCTCTGTCAGCTCCAGCTTCCCATGCGGAGACACGAGAGAAGCCTCCCACAGAAGGGTAACACATCCCTGGTTAACGTCCTTGAAGACGGCCAATTCTCTCACACCAGAAGCGACTTGCAGTTTCTCAAAGTTGCTCCTGACACACACAAAAATGAGACTGCACTGCTAGATAATCTGGGATAAGCAAAAAACCTGGGATCAGATCTACGGATATAGGGCCTGTCTGGAAAGGCCCTCAGAATGCAGCTGTAACCGCATCGAACGGGGTTATACAGAAGCCTAGACGCCTGTAATGCAGCTCAATGGTACTCTGAAACCGCATTATAGGGCAGTGTAGACGCGTCCTGAGGCAAAGGCGACTCCTCAAGGTCGTCGGGGTTTCGTGGCGTGTCTTGGACGTCGGACTCTGTGGGGTTCCCAAGCGCCGACGGGACCCGCTGCCACCCGAATTTGGGGTCAAGAGCATGTCAGCCGGCGTCCTTTCTTGCAGAATTGGGCGCTCCTCTCGCGAAGGTGGCCCCCATGTGACCCCGAAGGATGAGGGAATGGAAAAGAGGGGACCGTCGCGTTCTGTCTCCAGCGCTGCCCGCCTCCCTCCCTCCTTCTCTCCCGCGCGCGCGCACACACACACACAGACTCCCGCGCGCGCCCACTCACCCTGGCTGGCCCCGAGGAGCGCGAGCAGCAGGAGGGCGAGGAGCGCGAGGCTGCGGGGCTCCATGGCGGGAGACGGAGGCTGAGGCTGAGGCTGCAACTGAGGCTTGGCACTGAGGCTGAGTGTGGCGGCGGTCTGCCTCCCTCCCCTCTATAGAGGCTGGGGAAAGGGGGAGGGAGGGGAGGGGGAAGGAAATGGGGGCCGCGCGCTCCCTGACTGATTGCCTCTGGCATGTTATGCGAGACCCCTCCTCCCTCCAGACGGCATCGGATGAACGGGATTCGCCTCAGTGGAGAGGACTCTTCTCCCGCGAAGCCCCCACCCCCCTCCTCTCCCCGCTCCCATTTCTTCTCAGGCTTGGCTTTGGCCCCCCCTGGAAACGGAGGGGAGGGGGTGCTTTGGCAGGCGAGGTGCCCGCCGTCCTGCCAGAGGTCTCCCGCGGGTCACAGCCAGTTTTGCAACTTTCCAAACAGCGCTTGGGTTTTGGAGGAGCCTCCCTCGCCTCCAAAGAAGGGCCGAGGCATCCATTGGAACAGTGGTGCTCAACCTTCCAACAAGCTCCTTCCTTGGAAGCCTTTAAACAGAGGCTAGATGGCCATCTCTCAAGGGTACTTTGATTGTGCTTAGTTGGACTAGATCAGTGGTTCTCAACCTTCCTAATGCCCTGATCCCTTAATACACTTCCCCATGTTGTGGTGACCCCCAACCATAAAATTATTTTCGTTGCTACTTCATAACTCTCGTTTTGCTACTGTTATGAATCATAATGTAAATATCTGATATGCAGGATGTATTTTCATTCACTGGACCAAATTTGGCACAAATACCTGATACGCCCAAATTTGAATACGGGTGGGATTGGGGTGTCATTTGGGAGTTGTAGTTGCTGGGATTTATAGTTCACCTACAATCAAATTGCATTTTGAACTCCACCAACGATGGAATTGAACCAAACTTGACACATAGAATTCCCATGTCCAACAGAAAATACTGGAAGGGTTTGGTCGGCAGTGACCTTGAATTTTGGAATTGTAGTTCACCTACATCCAGAGAGCACTGTAGACTCAAACCATGGATCTGGACCAAACTTGGCATGGATACTCAGTATGCCCAGATATGAACCACTACTGGAGTTTGGGGAAAACACACCTTGCTATTTGGGAGTTGTAATTGCTGGGATTTATAGTTCACCTACCATCAAAGAGCGTTCTGAACTCCACCAACAATGGAATTGAACCAGTCTTGGCACACAGAGCTCCCATGACCAACAGAAAATACTGGAAGGGTTTGGTGAGCACTGACCTTGAGTTTTGGAGTTGTAGTTCACCTACATCCAGAGAGTGCTGTGGACTCAAGCAATTATCGATCTGCGCCAAACTTGGCACGAATACTCAATATGCCCAAATGTGGACGCTGGTGGAGTTTGGGGTAAATAGACCTTGATATTTGGGAGTTGTATTTACAGGGATTTATAGTTCACCTGCAATCAAAGAGCATTCTTAACCCCACCAATGATAGAACCCTAACCCATGACTAACAGAAAATACTGTGTTTTCTGATGGTCTTTAGCGACCCCCTCTGACACCCCCTCATAACCCCCCACCCCAGAGGTCCCAAACCCCCAGGTTGTGAAATGCTGCATTAGAAGTTGGCCCCTAAAAAGGGGTAGGCGATTAGTCAGTAAAAACTAGTGGGAGTCCGGCATAACTGTTGACTGAACATCAGAGACATCCAGCTCATTTCCATTAAGGTCAACCTCAGGTCCTTCCACACAGCTGAATAAAACCCCATATTTTCTGCTTTGAATTGGGATATGTGGCAGTGTTGACTCAGATAACCCAGGACCCTTACATACAGGTCCTATATCCCAGGATCTGATCCCAGGTTTTCAGTTTATCCCAGATTTTCAGGCAGTGCAGACTCATATAATACAATATAGACCTGGGATCAGATCCTTGGATATAGGCCCTGTCTGGAAGGGCCTTCAGTTCAAAGCAGGTATTGTGGGTTTTTCTGCCTTGATATTCTGGGTTATATGGCTGTGTGGAAAGGCCATCAGACTCATGCTTGCCTTCAAAGGGATCCTGAGGGACCTTCCACACAGCCATATAACCCAGGATATCAAGGCAGAAAAAGCCACAATATCTGTTTGAACTGGAATATCTGAGCCACACTGCCATATATCCCAGTTCAAAGCAGATAATGTGGGATTTTCTTCAGCTGTGTAGAAGGGGCCTGAATCAATGAGACACAGAGGGCTAACTATAGCACCAAGTAACACAATTTTGTGCTCCCTTGTTATAAATGTCATTTCCTAATTAGTGCAATCATCAAAAACATAAAAACATGCTATAAGTGTTATATAGTTCCTTAGGTATGAGGGCCTTTCCACACAGCCCTATATCCCAGAATATAATGGCAGAAAATCCCACATTATCTGAGTGTGGACTCAACGCAGTTCAAAGCAGATAATGTTGGATTTTCTGCTTTGATATTCTGGGATATAGGGCTGTATGGAATGGCCCCAAGGAATAACCCAGAATACCAAGGCAGAATAACCCACTTTATTTATTTACCATATTTCTATCCTGCTCTATCTCACCACCGAGGTGGGACTCAGAGTGACTTACAGCTTGGCACAATCCACTTGATACTTTATTTTCATGGTTCCAACTGAAAAACAGGTGGGATGGCAACCATCAAAGTTTCCCGATTCTGTTTCATTGCCCAACCATCAGCAGTCTTTTGTATTCTATGGGCTTTGATGCAGAACAATAGGATCCCATGGAAAGAAATGGTTTTAACCTGGATCACTGTCTCTTGTATCCTATAGGGTTCGATGCAGATCTATGGGATCCCATGGAAAGATGTGGTTTCAGCCTCTTTAATGTAAAGGGCTTTGGGCAGGGCAAGTGGTTTCTTGGTTTCTGGATATTGTTGTTTTTCCTGATTAAAAAAAAGTAATAGTGACCTTGTGATGAATGTAAGATGAATGTATTGCCAGCTCCTAAGTTTCCACATGTGATTGGGGTGGGGGTGGGGGGGGTGATGTGAAAAATAACTGTTGACGGTATAAGAAGGGCGACTCTCAATGCTAAAAGGATAGTCACCTATGCTTTCTCATCTAGGTTGTGATGAGGTCGTAAATTCAAACCCTGCTCTCCTGACTAAACAGAACAAGCTGCAGCCTTCCACATCACAACTCCTATCAGCTCTAATCATGATGTCTAATGATGAGGGATATAGGGGTTGTAGTCCAGCATCTGGAGGGCCACATAAAATATCATAGGCTGGATTCAGCCCGTGGACCTTGAGTTTGACACATATGCATTAGAAGCTGGCCCCTAAATAGAGGTTGGTCAGTAAGAACTGGTTGGAGTTAAATATAACTACAGTGTTTCCTCACTTATCATGGGGTTCAGTTCCAGGACTACCTGCAATAAGTGAAAATCCGTGAAGCAGGGACGTCATATCAATTTTAATATTTATACATTATTTTATATATAGCATATATTATTTTCTTACCCACACTTCCTTACCCACCTCTCGGCCCATCCCAAGGGCTCCTGCCTGCCTCCCTGGCCTCCGCAGAGCCTTCGGAGCCACACAGGCAGCAGCAAGCCAGGGAGGTAGACCTTCCCCGCCACACCTCAGGCCACCGCACTTCCGGGGTCTGTGGAGGCCAGGGAGACAGGCCTTTCTCGCCGTGCCTCAGGCCGCTGCACTTCCGAGGTCCCTGGCCTCCACTGGATGGATATATTTTATATTTTTATTAATATTTTCAAGAACCTACAAAACAGCGAATCCACTAAAAGCAAACTGCAAAGTAGCGAGCGAACACTGTATTGACTAATGCTATAGAATTAGTGTCATTTGACACAACTTTAATTAACTACCAAGGCTCAATGTTATGGAATCATGAGAGCTAGAGTTTTTCCAGGTCTTTAATCTTCTTTGCCAAAGGTTTTGGTGCCTCATCAAGCTACAACTCCCACAATGCCGTTGCACTGAGCCAAGGCAGTTAAAGCAATGTCAGGCTTGTAGTGCTGTGATTGCTAAAAGTCAGCATGCGTTTCTCAAAAACAAGTCATGCCAGACTTAGCTGTTTTTATGATAGAATTACAAGCTTGGCAGATGCAGGGAATGCTATGGATGTAGCATATCTTGATTTCAGTAAGTCCTTTGACAAGTTCCCCTATGACCTTCTGGCAAACAAATTAGTAAAATGTTGGGCTAGATAATACTACTGTTAGGTGGATTTGTAACTGTTTAAGCAACCGAACCTAAAGAGTGCTCATCGATGGTTCCTCTTCTTTCTGAAAAGAAGTGACTAGTGAAGTACTGCAGGGTTTGGTCCTTGGCCCAGTGCTGTTCAATATCTTTATCAATGTCTTGGATGAAGGCTCAGAGGGCATGCTTACGAAGTTTGCAGATGACACCAAATTGGAAGGAATGGCTAATACTCCAGGAGACAGGATCAGATTTCAAAATGACTTTAACAGATTAGAGAGCTGTGCCAAAACTAACAAAATGAATTTCAACAGGGAGAAATGTAAGATACTGCACTTAGGCAGAAAAATTGAAATGCACAGATACATGATGAGTGATGACTGGCTCGACCACAGTTCATGTGAAGAAGTCTTAGTAGACAAGAAGTTGAACATGAGCCAACAAAGTGATAAAGCATCTTTAAAAGCCAATGGGATTTTGAGCTGCAGCAAAAGGAGCATAGTGTAGACCAGTGGTCCTCAAACTAAGGCCCTCCAAGGTCATTTACCCGGCCCTTGCTCAGGGCCAACCTAAGTCTGAAACCTATCTCATAAGCCAAAAGCAGGCCCACACTTCCCATTGAAATACTAATAAGTTTATATTTGTTAAAATTGTTCTTCATTTTAATTATTGTATTGTTTTTAACTGTTTTTTGCACTACAAATAAGATAAGTGCAGTGTGCATAGGAATTCATTCATGTTTTTTTTTTCAAATTATAATTCAGTCCTCCAACAGTTTGAGGGACTGTGACCTGGCCCTCTGTTCAAAAGGTTTGAGGACCCCTGGTGTAGACACTATATCAAGGGAAGTCATGATGCCCCTCTATTCTGCCTTGGTCAGACCTCACTGGTGTACTGTGCCCAATTCTGCTTACCACAGTCCAAGAGAGATAATGAGAAGCTGGAAGGTGTCC